TTGCTGTAGAAGGCGACTATGCTTGTCGTAAGAGGAGACTAGGGGTCGGGTGGTCAGGCTCGCTGACTCTGTTGATGCATGGCATCGTATCCCAATTGCATGGATCAGTGTGCATGATATCAGTCACTTGATTGTCTGGTCCAGACTCGATCATTTACATACCGCCGTCACATAGCTGGCATATTGCTGAGATGGGAATGTCCACGTGAATGGTCCGGGTATGAATGCCCGTAAGATCTTGACGTTCATGATTTCATCAAATGTGGAGTAGATGCATACATCCGATAACTCTCTTAAAGCAAGCCATGGAGCGACAGCCAAAGGCTGGAAGACCTAAAGAAACACGTGACCTAATTTCCGTTTTGCGCAGAACAGGATACCAGTGTTACATTACCAGATTTATGTGTAGAAATCTCAAGCCAAAAGTAACACTATAATTTAAACCTCGTTTTTGAATTAAGCAGCGCTTTGGATGAGCTCTCGATGACTATCTCTAAGTCTACCAATTCCTGACTACTGTATTCCTTGTTTATTAACCCATGTTCAGCGCGTGCTCCCAACGTGCAATACATTATGTCTCATGTGGTTAAATCACTTCATAGCATGCGTGTGAAAGGTTGATCACTAGTAAGACCTCTGAATCGTTCAGTCGCGGTGACCCAACGTGACCTAGTGACATTTGAAAGCAAAAGGGGGCAGCGTCCTGTTTGTTTAAACGTTTCACGCATGTCTATTCATACGACAGCCGCTTCCGCAGATCAAGTAGGTAGTAGTTGACACAGCAGCGAAGTACTCTCCAACAGGGAAATGCCCTCTAACCTCAGTCGGAATCGGAACCGACAAGCCTTTCAAGGAATGTATATGAGCCCGTCGTCGGTCACTAAGCTTCACTTGTAAGGATCTATAAAGATTTTAAAGTCAACGCAGTAGAATATGAATTATGCAGAGAAATGAATGTAAAATTTGAGCTGATACATAACCAAATCTGGGATTTGTTCTACGAAGCGATTTTAGCAATAGGGTTGTGGTAAGTCTATGTTTAAAAATACTGCGTTTTGAAGATTGAACTGTAATCCTTGGGACCCACCCACTGTGCTAAGATTGTTTTGTGGACATGGTCCTCTAAGCCACCTTATTGCTTCGCGACCATTAGTCCTATTCTACAACAGTTTCGAGACTGAGATCACTTTGTTGAACGGGCCCATTTTCAAAAAGCGATCTTAATGCTACGATTATCATAATCCAGTGTTAAAGTATGAGTGTTACGGTCGTCTTAGCGCTAAGATCGCTTTGTGGAAAGGGGCCCTCGATTTTAGAACTTCAAGTAATTATTTCGTATTAGACTTATATAATATAGGTCAATAATTACCACTGGTAGGGGTTACAAATATGCCCAGTTTTTGCCAGTAAGTGTGTGAATGCTGTTTTACGCCTAAAACAATTACATCCGATCACGGCACGTGTTAAAATCTAGACAGACTAACTAGGGTTGGTAGCATGATTGAACACGCTATTTCAGTGAGTGTGTGACTTCTATCAGTATTCCAGCAAAATCACGGCGAGGGACACCAGAAATGAGCTTCAATCCCATGTTAGGAATCGAACCCAAGCTTTCCGCGTGACGAGCGAACGCTTTAACTACTTTGCTCCCAAAGCCATTTGAGTACGATGACACACAATCGGCCAGGTTACACATTGTAATCACCCGATTTTCGTTACTCGGCTCTTACGTGTTGTATGTGGTAAAAGGAAATGTTTCTGAACCGAAATCCCAACAATAAATGTGAAACAGGCAACCCTGCATACAGTGACCTGAATACGTTGTAAGTCGATGCTGACTGCGCCAAGTGACCTCAGTACAGTGGTAGGAAGCGCGGGAAGGGCATTATTTCATTGTCAAACACCCGAAGTATAACCCTGAAATAATGTGATATTATAGTCAAACAAAAGCTATGTCAGACGGAAATATTTTTACCCTACATCATCGTCATTATTACCCGAACAATTGACAAACACTTGACAGTTTTCCGCTGTGGCGGACACGATTTAGGCATTATATTGTAACCTATGTTTCAGCGACATTCCATGTTTATATATTAGTATTTCCATTATACGACAAACACACAAAAAGCGACTTGGTATAACTTTCACGAACAAGACTCGTTTCACAAGTTTTCACCACGACGGAACCTCTGCCCAAATGTTACGTGCATATGCATGTATATAAAATCACAAATGAATTAGAATGAAGGTTAGTTCGGGGTCAATCTCGATGACTTGGTTGACTACGTGTCATCGGATCTCGATATCGTCATATCGATGACTTGGATGCCCGGTCCAGATTCCTGGGGTGGGTGGGCCTGGGTGATATTATGATACACCACATGTTGTTCGTCGGCTCATCAGTTTTGCAGTCGGCAACGAGTTATATATGTTTCACCCAATCTGTGCAACTCCCCATTGCGTGAAATGAGCCAGCTGGCTGCCCATTTTGTGAAATATTTGGAGAATTATTTCTCATTCACAACTATTGACCATTGCATGCAATGAGCAGACCATTGTTTGCCCATTGCAGGCATTGGGCAGTTGCACAGATTCGGTGTTACATTTATACATGTAGATATACACCTATATCACGCTGACGGGGCACGAATGGCCCAGTAGTCTAGGGCAGGGCAATTCGCAGATTTAACACCTTGGAGAGTTCTCCGAAGTGATTAACGTCTAAGATCTGCATCACTTCGGACTTCCTTCAAGCTGACAAGCCGTGATAAACTGATATACTGTTCAAAGCGGCGTTAAAAGCTGTTATCCTAAATCTCACAAGGGCTTGTTCAGATCAGGGATGATGTTTTCAGTCATTTCAATTCCTTACCAATGCCTGTTTCACGAAGCTAGTTATAAACCAAAGCGGTTATAAAGCCATCCTGATTACAATACCAAACTGGTTTAAAAGCCACCCCAGCTTGTTATAATGTCAAACTAGTTATAAAGCCATCCTTGTTATGTCAAACAGGTTATAAAGCCATCCTGATTACAATACCAAACTGGTTAAAAAGCCACCCCAGCTTGTTATGATGTCAAACTAGTTATAAAGCCATCCTTGTTATGTCAAACAGGTTATAAAGCCATCCTGGTTATAATGCCAAACTGATACATTATGGCTAAAATGATGCCGATTCAACGTTACATTTCAACTCACTCACTCACTCTAATGCAATAAAGCTAGAATATCTAGTAGGATAGTTGGCGAAAATATCAACTAGGACATTGGTGGCAGACAAGTACCCACTAAAATCGAATACATTGATAACAACATATTCAATTCACGCTGAAGTAAGTCGATCACGTGTGTTCCGGCACGATGATGATAAAGTACCCTGGCTTAACTCTATCAAAACGGCATCTCCAGATTAGTTTATGGAAGCCTATCTACACTAGCCACCGACAGAACAACACAGTGAATAGGTGCCTGCCACTGCCTGCTCGCCTCGTAAGCCAGTAATTGTGGACGTTGACAAATCATGCGTTACCCATGTATTCAACGAGAACGTCATTTCAAAACGAATTCAGAACTACTCTCCCAAACCGTGATTCCATCAAGGTGAACAGAAAAGGACTTTTGCCTGTACCATTTAATTGGTGTCCACATAATACCAATGCCTTACCCTATCAAACGGTCTAACCATAAGACGTTAAGGGATGGTACTTCTTGTTACCCTGTCTGGCGTTCGGCATGAAGGGGCTAAAACAAGGACTGTTCGGCTTGGAGTCAGCATACTGTGTTTGAGTGGTGTATACATGTTAAACTGAGGCATGGTATCTCAGTGGGCTAACACTATAAAATCGGCATTGATCTGGACTAGAGCAAGCAGCCACACACACACACACACACACACACACACACACACACACACACACACACACACACACACACACACACACACACACACACACACACACACACACACACACACACACACACACACACACACACACACACACACGTGTCATTGACAGCCAGCCAGTAAGGACATTGACCAAAACTGCATAGTCATTACAAGTGATATTTAAAGTGTAAATACACTATTTTCCAGGAAAACAACTTGATATTTCTGGTATGAAACAAATACAGTGAGTAAGTGAGGTTTTCCGCCGCTTTTAACAATATTCAAGAAACATCACGGCAGGGAACACCAGAAAGACGTCCCGCATTGTACCCATTAGGGATTTGTCAACCCGATGACTTCACGAATACAATACAAGAGTAAAAACGACCCAGCAAATATGACAGGTAATGTGCCGGGTTTTAAAAATCTTCCTTTGTACGCTCTCTTAGATGATGAACCCACACGTGAATTCACTGTCGTAGCGTATAACGATATACGGTCCCAAAACCAACCACAATGCGTCACGGGTAGATATACGGAAATACAGACACAATGCACAGATCTACGGGTGCTCCTATAACAAATGTGTAGTCATATAAACTGCACCCTGAACAATCCCATGTTGTTTACAATGAACACTGCATAAGCAAATGTAATACACAACTGGACCTAAATTCATCAAGTATACATATAAAGTTTGGGGGAAAAGGGGAGAAAGAATGGCGAGTGGTATCAGAAGCACTACCACACAACATGCTAGATGAATTCAAATCTTAATCCCGATGCTATTTGCGTTTCGAAGTCGTTATTATTTAAAAACACACTAAGTATTGAGTTTTTACTTGATCCACACTTCTGCCCCCACAAGCACACGTTTACATGCAAATTATTTATTCATTGAACATGTTAATTTATTCCACAAAATCTTCGTCCAATTAGAAATCACTCCAACGATATAATACACAGTAACAATCTTCTTATACGTTGTAAATTCACAACTAAAACTCGTGTCAACGAAAATCAATTTCATACCAATTTCAAAATATCGTCTGCTTGTAGCTTGTCCGTTTAACAAATTGCTACTAAACTAAAGACAGTTGATACACTTACCAGGCTTGATATATATATCCCAGTAAAATCCACCACTTGGGCCGAATTGTGCTCGTTCCGTTTGAAAGTCGGTGTCACTTGATAGCCAGTCACCCTCACCGCGAGCAGACGGCAATGCGAGTGAACTGTAAACTTCTGCCGTGGTGTCTCCGCCGGATCGCCCACGCTCATCGCCGGGGATACCCCGTCCAATATGAAACAGGTGTTTCGGTCGGGGCTACTCTTTCTGTGTCACCAGCCCTAACCGAGAACAAACGCTACTTCTCGCCACACCTGTTTGTATAACATCAGTTATGGAACGCCATGAATTTAGTCTAGTAAGGGGAGGTAACTGCTGAAGGGCCAGGTATGATTTCACGTCGTGAACGAGAGTGCTTCATTGAACCGGTGAAGAAACAGTATATTATCCATTGAATACTTACTCAATGGAATATTTTAAATAGCGTGTGATTTTCAGGTCTGCCGGACCCAATGAGCACGGTGTATAAGAGGGCCACAATGGAACTCGTCGACTCGGTAGTGTTCAAGGAATCATCCTCAGGTTTTAATAGAGACGATCGAAAGAAGATAGTGACACCTTCATTAAATCGTGTTTGGCCAAATAAAACACAATTGTATCCGTTTTTTCTCAACTATCTTGAAACCACACAACCGCACTAGACATAGTGTTCCACTAGGCAACAGTTAAGTGAGTGAGTGAGTTGGGTTTAACGGCGCTTTGAACAGTGTTCTGGCTATATCACATCGTGTCAGCTTAATGTGGGAGGAAAGCCCGAAGTGATGCAGGTCTCAGACATTTACTACTTTGGTGAAACCCACGAGTATGGGCATGGTGCTGGCAAACGTAGAAACCTAATCGGGGCGAACCGAGATTCGAACCCACAATCATAGGTTCCTGGCGTGCCTAAGGGACGGAACTCTGCACAGCGACTGGGCAACCCTTGCCCCCACAGTTATGTAATAGATATATTAATTCGAAATATTTTTAGATATGCAAGTCTATAATAGTGTGTAAGTCTAGATTACTAAATAATGAAGAAAGTCTCTGGGCTCCTTTTTTAATTACATTTTTATTAAGATATTTTAACAACTGGGTTTTTTTTCTGTAAAATTTGTTCATTTCAGAGACGAGATGTTAGTCTAGGCTACTATCTGCCCCTTCAACAGGCTAATACTAATCGCATAGCAAAATCTATAGTTTGCATATTGTAGGAGTCTGGGGAATTAGGGTGCATTTCGAAGTATATGAATAATATGTTTCTTGTTCATGTGAAGTTTTGAAATGTCTTCATTATCATTTGTGAGTGAGTATGTTTTTAACAATATTCTATCCATAGCATGGTGGCAAATGAACCTTTTAAACCACAAGGCTACCCCGGCCTTCTTTTTTACTAAATCTGCAAACAATAACCTACTAATCCGTCGTCTAAACCAACTGCACAGATCGATACTCATGATGTCAATCACTGGGTTGTCTGGTTCAGACTCAATTATTTACCGACCGCCGTCATACAGCTGGAATATCTCGGAGTGCCGCGTTAAACAAACAAATGGTGGCAAACAAACAAAGGGACAACTTGTTCTTATTGTTGATAAAATCTAGAAAATATGATTTAAACTAATACTTTTTGCCTTGGAGACTTTTGCAAGTCTAGACTGTCCTGTGCAACGTTTACTGCAGTCCTGTCCCGATAGGCACTGCATTGTCTGACACTTTACCACTCTCCTACCCAGAGTTCCATGCGGCCGGCAGCCAGCTAGCATAGTACCTCTGCCACAGGCCAGCGCCATGTGACGATTCGTCACATCTTTCACAGTCCATTCAAGATATTGCATATGCTTTTCATCCGTTTCATGTTTGACAAGTCTACACATTTTCATAAGCAAATGTCATAGAATGGTTAACTTTCATTGAGAAAGTATGCAAATACGTAAAAATCTACTTGTTTTTGCGTAGTTATCCTATGTTTACATTGGTTGTACGGCTCCACGTGCTGTCATCGAAGCGCAACGGAGAGCTAGCGACACGGTCACTTTGATGCATAAATATATATTGTCATGCAACTCACTGTCGCAGTTGTAGTAGCATATCTATATAGTTATGCAAAACAATATGTAAAGCGCCCCCCAATACTTGCATTAGTCCGTTCTATACTGATTTCTGAAAAAGCGCGTTTGTTTACAAACAAGAGAAAAGTCCGGTCACGTGATATGCAAATTAGCCTGTGGCAGTGGTGTTATGCTGAGTCACCACTGCGACGGAGTGTGACACTTTACTTGAATATTTATGTCAAGTCCGTGAGTTTTTGACCCGATGAGTCGGTCGTGCCGCCGGCTCCCCTCAAACACAATGACCTGGGTTTAAAGCTCGATGTACCGTTGCATGCAGATGTTTCTAACTTGATGATGTTTGTGTATATATATGGTATTATGAGCGTGAGCGTCGGGTGACGTCAATAATGACCGTTATGTTATGTATTAATGCGCCACCGCGATCAAGAGAAAAGACAAAAAACGTCCATTCGATCCTAAAAAAGTTGCGATTTTAGGTGAGGTGAAATGGGGTTTAACGTCGCGTCCAAGATTATTGAACTTATATAGCGACGTGCATGTACGTGTGTGTGTTTGTGTGGCTGCTTGTACTAGTCCGGACTGATGCCGATTTATAGTGCTAGCTCACTGAGATACCATGCCGCAGTTTAACATGAATACCCCACTCAGACACAGATACTGACTCCGAGCCGACCAGTCCTTGTTTTAGCCCCTTAATGCCGAGCGCCAGACAGGGTAACAAGAAGTACCACCTTTTACGTCTTTTGGTATGACGCGGTCGGGGATCGAACCGCGGACCTTCCGCTCTCCGGGTGGACGCTCTACCCTTAGGCCACGTAGGCGGTCATTGCGATTTTAGGGTGTGTAAGAAACATATTATCGATCGTTAGATACGTTATCAAACAACTCGTGGTAAGAAAAATCTGACACACACTCGTGTAGTTATCTCTGTTTACTGTCAAAAACTGGCTTCTACTTGTGATATCACTTGGAGATAGTGCTACAATGAACTTTCATCGCAATGCTTTTCAGACCACTGTGACGTCATCGGTTATCATGACGTCACATCTCAAATATATCACGACTTGTTGATAAAAGTAAAAATATCCCCGGCAAGTCTTGGATAGTTGTAAGTTTTATCAAATCGTCGTAATATATCTGATATATTTGACACTAGGGTGAGATTCTCTTTACACATACATAGTCCGACTAAACGTACCTGCTTCATGTGAATCACAGTTAAATCGTTGGTTTGGAACAAAAAAATAAAGTGTCTCCCGCTTCACATTTTTTGTGAATGGAAAATATCAACGCCAGAGTATAGATTATTCGCCGAAACAGATTACATTGCTCACAAAAAGCAAAAGACCGGTGAATATTTTCTAAACGAAAACTGAAAATCTAAAAATATATCGAATTAAAATACCTAATACATAACTGTAGGGGAAAGGGTTACCCATTCGCTGTAGAGAGTTACGTCCCTTAGGCACGCCAGGATCCTATAATTGTGGGTTCGAATCCCGGTTCGCCCCGATTAGGTTTCTACGTTTGCCAGCACCATGCCCATACTCGTGGGTTTCACCAAAGTGGTAAATGTCTGAGACCTGCATCACTTCAGGCTTTGCTCCCACATTAAACTGACACGCTGTGATATAACCGGAACAAAATTCAAAGCGCCGTTAAACCCAACTCACTCACTCACTTAACTGTGGCCAAGTGGAACACTATGTCTAGTGCGGTTTCCTTTAACAATAGTTAAGAAAAAACGTAGTACCATAAAAGGACACATTAATAAATTTATAAACACGAGTTCGTACGCATAGCATTCGTATGAATGCTATGATGTGACCTCAACATGTTTACTGCCGGTCGTTTATAACGACAAAGTAGGCCTGTCTGAAGACCAGTAACCCGTCCGAGCCTTTGTCAAGCGGTGATTCATTTGCCCTGTGACGTCACACCGAGGGAAATCGCAATCCCAGCTGAGAACACGCCCAAAAATGTTTATTAATAGAAGTTGACAAATATGCGGGCATGCCACATCAGACTAAAGGGAGGTAACTATGATTGTATATATCACGGCTTGTTTAATTTAACTGACGATAGGTATGTACATGCAAGCTGTCCTTTTTTATATCAAAGACCTCAGAAAGTCAGGTATGGCTTAATACAGTGAGATATGCTGATCAGCTGCCAAATGACTACACAGAAGTTGTTTTTTTTTGTTTATTTTAATCAAACTTCATCAGGAAAGGGTAATTGAATTAACTCCCCAAAAAAACAAAACGACCCTCTTTAATAAAACAAAAGCCAGAAGACCGTGTTTTTAGTTCAAGCGCAAAGATGCTCGTTTCGGTTGCTGTGGTTTGTCCCCATGAAATTGCTTTGTGTTTAATCAGCGTTATTTCGAAAGGATTCAGATTTGAATTTGAATTACGTATCTATTATCTGGCTCGTTGGTCTAGTGGTATGATTCTCGCTTCGGGTGCGAGAGGTCCCGGGTTCGACTCCCGGACGAGCCCAATTTTTTGGCAAAAACATTTGCAGTTGAAATGCTTCTCCTGTCAGTCCCAAGAGATGGAAGAAGCATCAGCTTGGAATCTCTCGGCGATGCTTGTTTGTCTTAAAGCATCCTTTGCCAACTGATTACAGTAGAAATGTACACTTTATAAATGTCTTTTATATTTGTTTAACACTGAGAAGTAAACCTTGCGTTCATGGAAACAATTTTGCAATTGATTTGTAGGTCATGGGGACGTGGTTTGTTTTTCGTAGGAGAAAAGTGAGTAAATGAGTTGACGGCGAATGTTAAAAACGGATTTGATTAAGTTACTTCATAACCAAGTCCATTCTTTGCGTTTTGTCAGGCTCGCAAGCCTTAAGATGTGCCTAAATGTTTCTTGAGTTTGTCCACCTATGAACTACTGTATTGCATTGAAGTAAATGCACGATGCATGTTCATTACATAAGGGGAAATTAATTAATAATAAATTGTATAGAGAGATTTATTTTGAGCATTGCCAAAGTGTTTAGATGATGGTTATTCCAAGCATGTGGATGAAGGTAAAGTGTTTCAATTGATTAAATGAAGAAGAAATGAGGTCAGATGATATGTAGAGACTGCGATAGATCGTCGGAGAGCTTGGTGTTGGAGAGCGGCTCGTTGGTCTAGTGGTATGATTCTCGCTTCGGGTGCGAGAGGTCCCGGGTGCGAGAGGTCCCGGGTTCG